GTTGTGTTGGAACAAGACAAAGGAAGGCTCTTTGATACGTTTGACAGCTTTTGCGATGCGATGGATGAGTTCCACAGTCATATTGAAAAACAAGAGTACGAAGAAGAGCTCGAGAAGAAAGATGCGACAATGAAAAAGAAGATTCAAGCAGTGATAGATGGCCACGAAAAGAGGTACAAAGGACTTTTAGAGAAGGCGGAAGAGATGGTGGTGAAGGCCAAAGTCGTCGAGAGCCACATCATTATAGTCGACCAACTTATTAAAGAGATCAACGTCTTTTTGAGTGAGAAAATGCAGTGGGAAAGAGTCGAGGAGATCATTCAGAGTGCCAAAGAAAACGACCCAACAAGTGTCGCTCAATACATCAAGAAATTTGACTTTGCTAATGACGTTGTTGTTCTTTCATTAGAAAATGCAAACAACCAAAAAATTGATGTCGACGTCCTTCTGACGAAAAACGGGTTTGAGAATGTCAGAAATTTCTATGAAATGCGGAGAGTTGTGTTGGCCAAAGCGGACAAGACTTTAGAAAGTCGAGAGACGGCCATTCAGCAAGCAACGCAGAAGGTATGTTTTTTAGTATATTTAATAATAAAAAACTATATATAATAGTAAATTAGTGAAGGGTATTAATTTGATAGCAAGAGCGTGTTGCGAAGACAAAGCAAATTGATTTGGCTGATTTAAAGAAGATGAGACGACGGTTTTGGTTTGAGAAGTTCCATTGGTTCATTTCTTCCGAGAATTTTGTGATCATTTCGGGTAAAGACGCTTTACAGAATGATGTGATGTACCGGCGATACATGAAGAACACAGATATCTACGTCCATGCGGATATCCATGGTGCTGCGTCTTGTCTGATTAAAGGAGTGAAAGGGAAAGTGATAGGTGCTGCGACCTTAGAACAAGCAGGGAAAGTAGCTGTCTGTCGTTCATCTGCGTGGACGAATAAGATAGTGACGAGTGCCTATTGGGTGTATAGTGATCAAGTTAGTAAGACGGCGCCATCTGGTGAGTATCTAGTGACTGGATCTTTCATGATAAGAGGAAAGAAGAACTATTTACCACCGGCGCCATTAGTCTTTGGACTTGGTATTGTGTTTGCTGTAGAAAAGACGGAGAAGGAGGAGACTGAATTCAAAGAAGACAATTTGCAAATACTTGGCGAGACGGAAGGGAAAGTTGCGAAGGGAGAAATGAAGGAAGGCGAGAAGAAAGAAGAAAAAGCAGAAATAGCAGAAAGCGTCTTGGAAAGATCAGCGAAATATAACGAACAAATTGAAGAGAAAGCCACACAAGGGATTGATGCGAAAGCCACCGACGATAAGAGCGACACGACGAAAGTCACGATCGACGATATTCAATTCAAAAAGGTCGAATATGCAAATAAAGACGAGGAAGAACAAGCCCGTCGTCTCGCACACAAAGAAGAAATGAAGAAGCAACAAGCACGACTGATGTACGAGAAACAAAAGAAGAGCGAAGAAGACGCCAAACGCCAAGAAAAAGAGGCGAATAAATCGGCCAACAAAAAGACTCGGGGACAACTCCGTAAAGAGAAAAAGTTGAAGAAGTATGTTGAACAAGACGAAGAGGATCGACTTCGAATGGCTGAGAGGATAGGACATAAATTTGAAGAAGAGAAAAAGCCCGTTGCTGTTGTCGTAGAGGAAGAAAAGACTGTGAAAGAGTTGATGTGTCATTACTGTGGGTCTAAAGAGCATATTGCTCGCGACTGCCCAAAGCGTTTAGCGGAAGTGAATAAGAAGAAACAAGATGATGAGAAAGCAAAAGCCGAGAAAGTCGAAAAGAATGCAAAAGATGAAGTAGATGATGATGAAGAGGAGGAACAAGGTGTCGATGATGTCGTTTTTGTTGGCGAATTGAAAGAAGGGATGAATGTGAGATACGCCGCACCCATATGTGGGCCATATGAATGTGTAACGAAGTATAAGTATCACCTGAAGATCACCCCAGGCAAATTGAAAGCTGGAAAGGCTGTGAAGAGTGTAATGTCAATGTGGGGAACTTGGAAAGATATGACTCAACTTGAAAAGGCACTTATTGGTGGGATTACAACGGACGAATACACTGGTGTACTAATGGGGGATGTTACTATTCACCCACCAACGGGTAAAGTGAAAACAAAGAAGTGGACGGGCGGCAGTGGCAAAGCAAAGAAGGAGAAAAAAGTAAAGAATTGAATTGTTCTTTAAAATGTCATGAATAACATTTTACAACAACAAAACATTTTTGTTTTTTCTTTTTGATTTTTTTGAGTGTGAAAATGATTTTTGCAATCGAACAAGTATAGTTAAAATCTAGTAAAGTGCTATAATAGTATAGTAAAAAGTGGAAACATCAAAAAGAGGAACTTTGAAAGAGAAGAACAATGGGAACAGTCCAAACAACAATAGTGGAAGACGACGTCCCGAGTTTTACGCCCGTCGAGTTAGTAGACAACGCGCCAGAAATTCCGATGGTGAAAGCACAAATCAAACACGTTGTGTTATATAACATCGACAAGATGACGATACACTACTCGAACCATGTCCTGACGTTTCTGATGGATTTTGCGTTTGAAGGAGAACTGACGGTTAAGGGGAAGAGCGTTAATAAAGAAGAAGGAGACAAGGAGGGGATGATAGAAATAGAGAAGAAGAGTTTTATGGCGGGGATGAAGCAAATGTACTCTGTCAATATCCCTGATGGTGTTGTCGTAGTTGATATCGATGTGTGTAGGCCACAAGGTGTCGAACTGCCTTTGACTGAATATTTACTGATCGACCATGTTACATCGGAGATCTCTCTCCTTGAAATGGCTAAAATGACAAAGATGAACTTTCAGTATGGAGATGTGTGGTACAATGCATTTGATGTGTTTGGTGTTGGGGAAGAGAAGGGCGGCGAAGATTTGTGTGCCGTGTGTATGTGTGAACCGCGCGAGATCTTATTATTACCGTGCAGACATGTCGCGATGTGTGCGGAGTGTTATAATGAAGTCAAAGAAAGGACTAGACAGTGTCCCGTCTGTCGAGGTAGTTTGTTCTTTTAGTATTCTGGTTCGGAAATAATAAAAAGTATTAATACATAGCTATCACCGCTGCAATAAACTTCTCAAGAAAACCAGAGAAGAAGGAAGTCGCGATAGACATGGAGAACCCCCATCTCAACTAGATTTGTCTGCAGCGGACAAATTCTATTTGTTTAGTTTTTTAATTACAAAATTTTAGTATGCCCATTCTGGTAAAATATAATTATAATAAACTATAAGTATGAGATAAGAAATAAAAAAGAGAGAAACTCGAAAAGAAGACATGAGCGTAGCACAACCAACGAGCCAACACATTCCACTAGACTACGTGAAGAGTTTATTAGCCGCAAATGGGTTACCCGATTTAAGTGATGAAATGGTGACTTTAATATCTGAAGAAGCCGAGGGAGCTCTTACTGAGTTATTTACTGTTTGTTCAATACTATATATAATTTATTTATATAATATAGTATATTAACATTGTAGGAGTCTTCAAAGTTTATGAGACATTCCAGAAGAAAAGTACTGAGTATCAACGACATCAACTCAGCTTTAAAAGTCAAGAAAATGGAACCGTATTATGGCTATAACCCAGCAGTTCCATTGTATTACCAACGACTTCACTCGAATCACGAAATGTTTGTGAGACAAGAACAAACGATTGACTTGTCGGAGTCTGTCCACTCGCAATTCTTCCCTGACATTCCAAGAGATATCAATATAGGATGTCACTGGTTGACTGTTGATGGAGTGCAGCCACAAATTCCTCAAAATCCGTCTGTATTTGTAGCGGAGAAAGTGAAGAAAGAAGAGACGATTGAAACGAAACCGATCATAAGACACTCTTTGAGTAAGGAACTTCAAATGTACTATGATATGGTAGTTGAGGTATTGAATACAACACAAAAGGAGAAGATTAGTTCGTGTCTTGACTCAGTCAAGTCTGATTCTGGACTCCAACAGTTGACTCCTTATTTCATTCGATACATCTCAAACCACGTGTTAACCAATTTAAATACGTTGGACATCCTCTCGAATATGCTTGGACTTGTGAACGCACTCTCGGAGAATCAGAACGTTAATTTAGAGCCATACTTGCATCAATTATTCCCAGTGATATTAACTTTAGTCGTCACAAAGCAAATAGGGACGGGAGCAATGGAAGACCACTGGGAGATCAGAACACGAGCAGCAAAAATTGTCAAGAAGTTGAGCGAAAGGTATTCCGACAAATACGGAAGGTTGAACGCCAGACTCCTCCAAACATATCTGAAAGCAATCACAGAAGCTACTAAACCTTTGACTACACAATACGGTGGAATAGTCGGAATCACTGCGATGGGTGAAAGGGCAGTATTCCATTTACTTGTCCCCGCAATGAAAAGTCTGAAGGAACGATATGAAGGAAGTGATGTTGAACAGAAAATGTGTTCGAAAGCTCTCTTCGACGCAGGGTTCTTGCTTGCTAAGAAACTGAAAGAAATCATGGAAACAGACAAACAAGGAGAATTAAAAGAATTAAATAAAGAACTCGTCGGAGAAGAATTTAATGTCGACGCGACTTTTAAGATGCTCCACGATATCTTCGGAGACTTGATTATCCCAGCTGATATCACTCCAAAGAATGTGGGCGATGTGTTAATTTAAGTATTGGATTTTAATATTAATATAGTTTACTTATAATTATTTAATTATTATTTAATTACTATTTAATTATTATTATTTACTTATAATTATTTAATTATTATTATTTAATTATTATTATTTAATTATAAAATACTAGTAAAACAATCAAAAATGAATTATAAAAGAGATGACGTGTATGAGTCAATGGAAGTCAACCACTCTCGTAGTATTCTTTCAACGTCATTTTTAATCCAACAAGGTTTTATGTAAGACCGAATTTCAGTGTATTTGTCAATAATAAATTTTAAATCTCTTTTATTCCACACGAGTGACGTGATTGTATCTGATAAAAGAAGACATTTCGAGCAGAATAATACAAGTTCATCTTGAGAAAATAAAGACTCAAAAAGATTGAGCTCTTTTAAAGCATCCACTCTCTTTTTCTTTGTGATTCGCTCGCAAATTTCTGAAACGATGAATTGGTGCAATTTAGTTTGATTCGTTTTGGATAAATAATTGTTGGTTTTTGTGATGATTGCGACGATGCCGTTACAATCTTGTTCTGATTTGATTATTTGAGTGATGAGAGTTGTCATTTTCTCGACGAAAAGTTTGTTCTCACCAATTCCATCGAATTCTTCCATTAAAGAAAAACAGTCATTAATTCCCCCAGTATTAAGTGTATATTCGGTGATGAGATTAATAATATTTAAAGCGCCTTCGTCACTCATCAAGATTTTCCACTTTTTTAAAAAAAGAATTCCACGACCCACATTTTTTTGTAAAGTTGGAAAAACATTTTCTTTGAAAAAATTGAGAGCCAAAGAGTCAGAGAGTTGTTTTGTTATTCCCAAGAAGCGGGGAGTACAAAGCGCTTGTGCACTTTGCATTAGCTCGTAGTAAGGACCTTCAACAGCATTATCTATCCTCCACGTTGTTCTCACAAATTCCAATTCATCGACTGCTCGCAACAGTAGAGAGTTGATGAGATAACTTGAAATTCGGTTGATTAAAGATGTGTCGATTCCTTTGTTAAGCCAAGTGACAATCTGTTGGAGATAAGTGATGCAAGTAGTGGGGTTTGTGACTTCATTTAAATCGTTAGATATTTGAGTTATTATCTCAACACCTTTTACACACCACGAAGTACTTTCATGAGAGTCTTCAATCTTTTCGTCTATTGTCGTTGCCATTTGTATCGAGTCTTCCAACGCTCGTTGAATTTTTGTTTTTGTTAATGTTATTTGCTCCTTTAAATCCTCAACTTTTGATGTTGTCTCTTTCACACCATTTTCAAGTTCAATTAATTCCTCAATGTTCTCAGTTTTTGCTTCTTCTCCGTAATGAAGTAACTTCAAATCAACATCTCGTCGTTGCGTTGTTTGAACTGAATCAACACCCTCTCGGTTGGCAGTTGATGCGGGTTTAATGGGGGCTTGAATGCCCTGCTCATATTTACCTACACCTTTACCCTCTGACCATCCCATACTTTTTAACATCTCTTCGCCAATCCCACCCACTGATATCGTTGATAATACATTTTCTGGGGATGGTGGACGTTTTGGTATCGGTTTGGGATGTGCCTTCTTTTTCCGTTTGACTCCGAAATCAGAGGCTCGAAATTCCATGATATGCTTTTTTAGTTAATTGTATTATATTTGTATAATAACAATATATATACTATATTATCTAGTTGATTGATTTGTGAAAAAAAAAATAAAGTTGGTGATGGAATAATAATTTTTGTTAAAACAAATTTGTTATATTGTTATGTGATTAGTATTGTATTAATTTATATAGTATTATTTTGTTTTTTGATAAAACTTGTCTTTATATAAATAATAGTACTTTTATAACATTTAAAATAAATAAAATAACCTATAAAAAACTATAAAAATAACTATTATAAATATAAAATATTTATATTTTAGAAAAAATCAAACAAATGGAATTGTATAAAAATAATAACAATGATTTTAAACGATTGTTTTTTATTAATATATTTATTATATTTTAATAATTATAATTTCACATAATTAAAAAATGCAGACATACAACAAAACAACAAAAAATATAATATTATTAATTATTAATATAATTATTAGTTTCGAAACAAACACATTTTATTAGAGTTTGTTGTAAATTGTTGTTCCAGTCGCTAACGTTATTTTTTTTAATAATTTATCCGCAACTAATGGTCGAAAAAACGGGAATTAAGTAAAAAGACCTAAAATTGAAAAAAAATAAATCAAGTTTTTTAAATATATTGAAATGAATCCCGATATTTTCCAATTATTATTGACCAAAATCCCAAGTAAACTTTGGCAATGAAAAAACTCCATAATTATTTTTTGCTTTTTCTTTTTATTGGAAAATCTTTGAATTTCTATTTATAAAAAAACAAAACAAATTAAGTAAAAGAATGATTTTATTTATTAATGATGATTCATAAGTTACATGTTATAATTTTTTATTAACGAATATTTAAATTATATAAAAAAGTAATATAATATATAAAATAGTATAATAAAAAATGGTTGGAAACAGTTCTGTCTTTTTGTTTTGTTTTTTTCCACAATATTTGGAAAAATTCCCGAATATTTAAACAAATAATTAATTATTTTAAAAATAATTAAACTCATATACATTTTATTATACAGATTTTGATTCATTTCCCAAATATAGACAATTGTGCTCATTAATTCAAAATTAAACTTTTACTTCAGAGGGTTTTCTTAAAATATACATTTTGTGTTTTCATAACCTAAAAATAGAATTAATTGTAATCATTTTCCCTTTTTTAAATGCAATTTGTGTCACACATTTTCGACAAAAAACAATTGACCATTCTTCCAAAACTTGTTGAGGAATTAAGGGTTTTTCCTTGTACAAATCTTAAAGTTGAAGACTTTACCTCGAACAAAATATGGGTTTACTTCAATTATTCACTTCAGATTTTTGAACAACCAAAACACCACAAAAAGTTATATTTATCAAAACTGTAAAACTATAAACCAAAATCCCGTTTTTTGTGTTATGATGAGGAGACAATCCACTTTACAAATATCACAAAGCAAATGTGTTCATAATTTACTTGATTAGCAATTTATTGACAGTTGTACGATTTTTTAAAACAAAACAATCCAAATGTAAATCAAATACAGAAAATGGCATTTAAAAATATCTTCACAAAGGAAGTATTGTTTCTCAATTACCCCTTGTTGTTTGCAACGAATTAAATACATGGTATTTAAAGTAGCAACTAAATTTTTCATTTTATATTAGAGGATGTTCTTTTTCATTATATTCTTTTGGTCAACATCTTCTCAAGTGTTGTGTTCTTCTGGATGTTCAAGTGAATGTATTTCCAATTATACATGTAGAGATCATTGTTTGGAAGGTTATGAAAATGATGGATCTTGTTTATATTGTGCAACTGTAATGCATGGAGAAGGTGTTTCCAACGTATATTTACCAAATGGGGATAAGTGTATACTTAATGAACACTTAATTGAGAAAGATACATGGGTCCCTTCAATTACACAAAAAGTGCTTGAAAATGAAACTTTCGAAATGAAATTTGGTGAAGATACATATGTGGACTCTCACCCATGTTATCACAAACAAAAGTACAGACTTATGTATTGGTACAAATTGGATTATTCACAAGTAACGACTAAATATATTTTCATCACTTTAAATAGAAAGGGTCAAAGTAATGACGAAATATATCTGGATGTTTCACACTCCGACTCAACTTCATTGGCCCCAACATGTTATGCTCAATCCACAATGAAACAAGATGATGTAGAAATGACAACTGAATTGCTTGTAGATAAAAATTTGGTGGATAAAGAGTATACTTTATACTATACGGTTTCAGTTGATGGTTACAGTGAACTAAATGTTGACATCTCTTGGAAAGGAAGTGATGAAGAATTGCGAACACCTTATTATTACTTCACACAAGAGCAAGCAGACAATTTGAGAAAGAATATAAAAGCTGATTTAGATATCAAATTCCCTCTGTCGTCACAGGGTTTATATCGTCATCCATCTTGTGCTTCTAATAAAATGATGAAAGTTTTGTACTTTCAAACTGAATTTAAAGGTGATTATTCAATACGAATAGACACTCTCAAAGGTGGCAAAAACAATTATCTTCAAGAACTAAGTGTGGATGAAAATGGCCAAAGTGTATGTAAAAAGTTGTGGGATGGAAATCGATTTGGAATTCTTGCGTTCGAAAATGATGAAAAAGAGGGACTCTTTGTAAAATTAGACGGCACTCGACAAACAGAAACAAAAAGATTGTTTGCAATTATGACAGAAGAACACTCGAATGATATTACTGTCACTTTTCGAGCAATATGCCCAAATGATTGTAACGCGGGAAACGAGTTTGGATATTGTTCAACTAAAGAAGCGAAGTGTATATGTAAAGACGGATATGGTGGAAGTGATTGTCACAAGTTGTGTTTTCACAACTTGGAGTGGCAAGTTGAAGATAACACAAATTTGTGTTATTTGGATTCTTCTCATTGTGATGAATTCTGCCAATGTGAAAATGGATACTCTCTTAAAAATCATTTGTGTGTAAGTAGTGCATGTGCAAGTAATTCTTCCGCGTTAAAAGAAGAGTGTAGAAGAGGAAGAGAAGGCTGTTTACCAAATTGTCAATGCCAATTTAGTGCAAACTGGTTCCCAACAAAGAGTCAACAATGCAAACACAAACTTTGTGGAAACGGTGAGATCGATGATCTGTATGATGCATATGGTTTCGTTAGAAGAGAAGAAGTTTGTTATTATATTATTTTTTGTTTAAAAAGAAAAGAATTAAAAAGAAGTGTGATGGGGGTGTCAATTGTGGTGAGACTTGTTTCTGCTTGCCTGGCTTTGTTCCAAATCCTTCACAACCAAATTCGTGTAAAACTAAAAGTGTTCATGGTGGTGCTATAGCTGGAATTGTTTGTGGTGGTGTATTAGGGTTAGTTATCATACTTACTTTTATCATATTTATTGCATATCAAGTACTCAAATACAAATCAATTGATGTGGATATATTTAAACAACAACAACCAGAGTATTATATGTATATTCAAGGGTCAACTAATGCTGCTCCCACAAAGGAAAGTCGCTATCTGTTATATCCCGTTGACTTAGATTTTGGTCAGAGAAATGGTGCAACAGCAATTAATGACACGAGATATGAGAAAATTGAAATAAGAAATTGTAGCAAGAAGAAGCAGTTTGTTTGAACATTTTTAATAATCACAACACTGACATTTCAATAATAACAACAAGCATGATGGTGATATTCCATACCCCAAATAATCCAAAGTACGTCTTTCATTTTGAACCTCAAGTGGTCTATGTACGCCCAAGAGGAATGGTGATATGTACATCATATATGACTATTCATTGCACAACTCGACTAAGAGATACAAGAATACCATATACCGTATGGTTTGCCGAGTCAAAAGGGCACTTGACAAAAATTGCAGATTTTTTGATGAATAAAAGTTTTGTCGACTGGGATATGGTTTGTAAGAATGAGATGGACAAATTGTTGAAAGGAATATTATTTCATTACCATCATCACCTTATTATCAAAACAGATGCTGCAAGTTCGACACAGTTGGATATGGATGAAATGAATATGTCAGAGAAACCAATTGCAGAAGGTGCTAATGGCAAAGTCTACATAGGGAATTACAGGAGTGTTCCAGTCGCTGTAAAACAATTTAGATGGGAAAATTTAAGTGGAAGTGAAATGATCGAGTTGAAGAAAAATGTTATTCAAGAATGTGAGATCATGAGTAAACTTCGTAATCCGTTTATCGCAAATTACATGGGGTCTGTCACGTACACACCACAAGTTTCTATGGTCATTCAATTCTTTGTTTTGGGCTCTTTGGGAGAGTATTTACGGAAAGACAGAGATGAGCATTTGAGTCTTCCTTATAAATTGAAAGTGCGAATGTTATATGATACAGCCCGTGGTATGCAATTTCTACATGAAAATAGAATCATGCACCTTGACTTAAAACCAGACAATTTATTAGTGAATTCATTATACACAGACTCGGCTTGTTGCATCAAAATTACCGACTTTGGAACATCAAGATTTACACATAAAGCACAGTCCACTGAAAAAGGACTTGGCACTCCAATCTATTTGGCTCCTGAAGGTTTCAAAGATGTGTACACATATGCGGGTGATGTCTATTCCTTTGGTATAACTGGATGGGAAATATTTTACCAAGATGAGCCATACAAATCTTTTAAATCGCTATTTGAGATTAAGACTGGAGTGTTAAATGGAAAACGCCCAGACATTGACAACTCAATGCCATCAAAATTGAATGAATTGATTGAGGTTTGTTGGAAGGGTACACCATCAGAGCGCCCACTCTTTGATGAAATCGTCAAGAAGCTCATTATCATTGATGAAGATGTCAGAAATCATATGGAATTGGACTTCGATGTTTTTGGTGACAAAATAGAATATCACATTAACAAGCGAATTGAGCGTATGAAGCGATTAGTCTCGGAAATAGCTTGATTCTAAAAAAAACACGTAGACTCTTTGTTATTTATACTTTATTATATCGTTTAGTTGTTTTATTATAATTTTAACTATTTTACACCTCATGACCAAGAATTATTGAATACTATTGAATTAACTATATGAAATGACAATCACTCGCTCGACACAGAACACTTCTTTGTGAGTAAAATCGGTTCCATTCAACTGGTTATTTAATAAACCCAAGTATAGTTTATTCAAACGAATAAAGAAACTATTGTTAAATTTCTTCTTAAATATAGCCACGACCCCACTCGACGATATTTCCCCAGTGATGGAAAATAACAAATCCCCTCCACTCATGACAAACAACTTTTGTGGTACCATTTCCCACATCTGTAAGTCCCCACTTTCATCATTAGTGTTGTCAAAAGCAAAAGTAAAATGTCTTGTTGTGATCTCAAACTTTTGCCTTTTGTCTTCGTCATAAGAAATCTCACCAATCGATTCAAAGAAAAAGCCAAAAACATTTCCAGGAGTGTCAACACAAAACACAAAAATGTTTTTGTGCGATTGCAATTGTTCTAAAAAGTTTTCTTCGTCATCTTCAGAAGAATCAAAAAGCATTTGACAAGTTTTATTCCCCAATCTTGCGTGATCACTTAATTGATTCAAATTTTGTATGATCACGTCATGGAAAACGTCTTGTTTCATTGTGATCGCAATCACACGCGTCATCTCAAAATCCTTCAATTTTTCGTTCACCACAAATCGAGATTTCTCAAAAAGTCGCAAAAAACATTTTTTGGTGGATAAACTAAAATTCCCACTTTCACTAAAGGTTAGCTCCCCACTCGTTTCGTCAAACTCAATCTCGTCAAATGGAGTTTGTATTGAATCTTCAATGATCGCAAAACTCAACGTGTCAAAACAATTGGGAGATTTGGGGAGAAAAAGACCAAAAACGTTTTGTGTTTTCTCAAAAAACAAAATGATTGGTGAGGTTTGACTTTTGATTTTTTTGGAAAAGAGCGAGGTGTCAAAACCGTCGATATCACTGTCGTACCACACATCAACTTCTTCTTTTCCTGTTAGTATTTGAAAAAACGAAAGAAAACTTTCAACCATTTCGTTTTGTTGTTTGTTGACTTCAACTTTAAGATTTTCAGATTGACTTTCGGGTTCTTCTATTTTTTCGGGTTTGCCAAAAATTGGAGATTTCGGACGTTCAGACGGAGTTGTCAGATTCTCAATTTCCTTGTTTTTCTTATCTATGTGCGATTGATACATAAACACGTTAAACCTCTCTTTTAAAATCAGGCTGTCTATTTCATTTTCAAGATCTTTAAGATTTTTGACTAAATCTTTCATAATTTCAATTGACCGATTTTTCTGGTCAACCAACTGCTCAAAGTCGCGGGAGAGTCGCTCGGATGAAAAGTTGTGATCAAAATCCGTCTGACTTTCTTTTTCAACAGACATCGAACATTTTTTTATTACATCCAATAGGTTTGGAAGTGCGCTTGAAAACCATAAAAAGTCCTCTGTCTTCACAACGTTTTCCATCAAAGAGTTTTCAGTTTTATAAATTTAATTATTCATTGAACAAGAAGCTAATTGATTGAATTATAATGTTTTAATTTTATTAAATTATATTATATTATATTATATTATATATATTTTTTTGTATTTTTAAACAAATTTTTTATTTTTATGTTATTGTTTTGTTTTTTTAAAAATACAAAAAAATATTAGTTTTTTAAACCATTTTTTACAATACATTACTGAATTAATAAAAATGATATTAATACTATATTTTATAATTATTTTTTTTCAAGAAAATAGAAATAAAAACTAATAATTAATAATTATATATAATAAAACGGTCATTACTCATAAACCATATTGATTGATTGAAACTAAAAAAAAGATAAGAAAGATGTCACTTTCCACTAACAATCTAATTTCCATTGTATCTTTTTTCGACGATTTTGAGGCTTTAAAAATGTTTACTTTAATAAACAAAAAGTGTCGCCGAGTTTTGTTTCAACTCAAAGAAAACCCTATTAGTCTGACTGATCACACCGCTTTGATTTTTTCGACCTTTGAAAAACAGAACATCTTCACATATGAAGACGAGCACTTCTTTGGTGTCACAAAATTTGTGTATCACTGTCCCGTCTGTTACTCATACTATAACGAGATGAAAGGAAATCGGTACATCTTCAAACATGTAGTATATACCTCTCGTGACCGAAGGCGGTTTGGTGATTATGTTCCTCGTGGTGTCACTGACATTGGTTTCGACTCTTTTTTGATGAGTGAAATCCAGACGTTAGCCATCCCGACTTCTGTCACATCAATTCAAAACAATGCATTCGAGAAGTGCTCTAAACTTGTTTCTCTTGAACTCCCGTCGAGACTTATCTCATTGGGAGCAGAGGCATTCATGGGATGTTCAAGTTTGACCAGACTTGACACACCAAAGTGCCTCACCTTTGTTGGTTTTAGTTGTTTCGATGGGTGTTCAAACCTTAAGAACCCCCCTGTGGTGTCTAATAAAATTATTTAGTTTTTATGTTATAAAAGTATAGTTTACCTTTCACGATTTTGTTTTTCTATAGAAACTTTTTTATTATAATAATAATTTATTTATTAATACCCAGTTTTAACTATAAAACAACAATTATATTAAATTTTTATAGTTTAATTAAAATGTACTAGAAATATGATACATTTTATTATTTATTTTCGGTGATGACTTTTCTCCATTGCGATGGCGAAACTCCCATACAATACTCAAAAAATCTGTTGTGATCAACCTCGCTTAGTCCAACCTCTTTACTGATGAACTGGAAATAAATACTTTTAAGATCCATGAGTTGTTGCTTGAGGGTGTTCTCTTTTTTACCTAAAGAAAGGCGCTCCTCCTCCAAGCCATTCAACACAATTGTCTTTTCGTTGATACTCAATTGAATCTTGTCGAGATTTTGAGAGAGTATTTCAATGCGACGTGAACAACAATCCCGATAATCAGACATCTAATGATTTTTTTTTATCTTTTTATAATATAAAAAGTTATTATTTTATTAATTAGTTTCTAGTATATTTTTCTGTGCATTTATAGCAAATGTTTTACATCACAACTGTTTAATATAATATAAATTATTATTATGTTTCTCGTAATAATAAATCAAAATAAGTATTAAGTGATAAGAATTGCAATATATCTGCATAGTTGTCTTTGTTCTCAGAGGTTTCCAAAATCACAATCCTAATTACCCACGTCACCATTTCATAACCAAAATGTTCATTTTCTCTTATAAATTCGTACGTTATAATACCACGTTTTCGGCAATAATTATTTTGGAAACCTCTGTTTGTTCTACCATATAGGAAAATTTATATTGATTTGAAAGCTATTGTTTTAATATTGACACAAAAAAACACGAAATTTCAAAAGTGCTGATTACTAAATTACCACTTTTTAAGAAAAAAAAGCATATTTAATCATTCAAAAGAATTCGACGAATTTTACAAATTTTACAAATGAAAAAAGAAAAAGGGTGACCTATTAAAAATATAACTCTTACGATGAGTGTGAGTGACGATAGTAGTCAGTACGAACGTGACAATGTAGTCGAGTGGACTGCAGAAGAAATTGAAACATTAGCAAAAAACGTCCGGTCCTATCCCGAAGGGGATTACTCTGAATTTAAAAGGCTTACTCTCTTACTTACAAAATTGCCACGGAAACGACTCCGCGATGTTTCTTCAAGACTCGAATATTATAAGGCAGTTGAAACGAATCCAACATTAACATGGAAAGACTTTTATTTGGACTCAAAAGCTTCAAAACAAAAACGGTTGGACACGTATTCCCCACGATCCTCATCATCTGATAACGAAGACGAGAAACCCCGCCGTCGCAAGAGTCGGTCTCGCTCGAAGTCGAAAGATAAGAAGAAAGACCAGGAAACTTCTCCTCCATTCTCGGACAAGGATTCTCAGAACTCCGCGAATTCCGCGGAGATAGAAAGGACGACTAAAAAAGAGGAGAAAGATGGCAAGAGGGACGTTAAAAACACAAAGAGGCAGTTGCCGATAGTGATGAGTGAATGTCCCTCGCGGAATACACGCAAAAGCTTTGACAATGATTTTAAAGACCAATCCATGTTTCATCAAGGACGACGAAGTGGCGATGGGTCCCCACGAGATCGTTCTTTTCAAACGTATCAGAACACACCGACGGTGCAAACCATTCAAAAAGTCTCCCTCACACAAATACCATTGAAAAGAGTACAACAACAGGAACAGAAACTTTTGAATGTCGAACAATTTTATAACTACAAAATGATCAACCCAAGAGATATCACCGACAACAACGAAAAAATATTGGACTTCTTATTACAAACGGAATTCCAATCAAAAATTGTCGACTTGGAAGCAACGGAAGCATTCTTGAAAAATGTCGAGGACGTCATCGCACTCACAGACCAAATGACTAGCCCCATGAAATTGCCAGTCATTTTCACGTGTCCTATTAGCATCAACGAAATTAAACAAAGGATCATCGAGTTGAATAAACACTAATCGTGTATGAATGCTTTATTTTATAATTGATTTTTTTTATTATACATTTACTATTCTTATTCATTAGACACTGGACTGGTTTAATAAATAAGAAAATACTAGAATACTTTTTTAGTGATTATAGAAGAAATTTTTATTAGAAACTCAAAAAGAACTGAACGAAATGGCAAAAGAAAATGAATACATACATACACAAATGCTCACAAAAGGATTAGTGACTTACTTTGATGTCATGAAAGAGTGTAAAATCGACGAAAACGGCGCGCTGAAAGCACTGGGATGTTATAAGAAGAACAACGAAAAGATAAATGATTGGGGGTTTGTGATGGTCGAAAACGAAAACGGGTGGAAGGCGGAAACAGACGCGTCAACACCACTGTTGGTGTCTAATAAACAAAACTACGACGAACTTCTTAATTCCTCAATCAAAGACTATTTCCATACCTTGAATTTCGTCGCAATTAAAGAGCCAAAAAAAGAAGAAAAGGTCCAACTGAAAAGTTCGAGTGTAGTTTCCGTTAAACCAATTCAACCCAACGAATTGCAAAAGGAAGTAAAAAAAAGCGAGAATATTGAAAAGAAGGAAACAAAGAAGTCTGGCTCGATAACTTCATTCTTCACTGCAAAGGCTAAAAAAGACGTCAAAAAAGAGGCGGTCACTGATGGAAAGAAGAAGCAAGGAAGCCTCGACTCGTTCTTCAAAGCAAAGGCTGCGCATAAAGCGGATACAACAAGTTCCACAAAGAGTGAAGCGTCTTCGAAAAAAAACACAAAGAAGAGAACGCTGAAGGGTGTTGACTCCGACAGCGATGATTGATCTATTTTTGCTTTTTATCTCAATATTAAATAATCTCGAAAAGACAAACAATGCAAAACACAAAAACGGGGGATTTGATATTTTTCGCAATTGTCGACGACCGTCTTGGCCTCAAAGAGGGCACACAAGACCAAAAAATCCTATACTATAACTCAATCCTCCCTTTTGACACGTTGGTCGTCAACGTCGGTCATATGCAAACCGTGATGGGTATCTGTAAGCAATTTAAGGGGAAGACCAAATATTTCAAGACAAAGCTTACAATCACCTTCTTCGTGTCGCCGAAAGACCATATCTATTTCATGTTGCGCGTCGGAAGGACGAACTCGACCGATGTTTTCTTCCCATTTTTGTCCCACTTATCATCCCTCTATTCCGTTCGTTCTCTCATTTATTCACAATCTCGCAACCTCATATTGTCATTTTTGTAAATTAACCAATTAAGAAACTATACAATATAAATAATAAGTAAATAAATGGTAAATCACCCGAAGATGTTGCAAAACGACGAGTATGTGGCTTCGAAGAAAAAGACGATGTTTGACATTTTCGACCCGATTTTTGAGAACTACTCCTTTTCCGAGATCTTGACTTTTGACTTTAATTTTTTCAAGATGGCGACACTGACGTATAAATCATATTTATATTTGTCCACAATAGTAGAGCGAACGAAGCAAAAATATCAATATATAACCAACTTTTTCATCATATATGGACGAACTATATTATATTCAGATTTGTCTCGGAACGATACATTAACGCTTTACTTGTTACTCTCACGAATGATTCAGCCGGAACAAAAGATGGTGGGTTCCGAGTTAAGTAGTTTGATAGTGAACCCAGACCAAGCTGGGTGGATCTTAGATGACTCTTCATTAATCCCGTTTTTCTTAGAACATGGCAACGAGCGAAGAAAAGTGTATTTGGGGATGTATAACTTAATTAAAGAAGACCAAAAAATGTTATTTATCCCAATTTTTTCGCAATCAGTCAGGGAATTTTTTACTGAATTTGATTGTGAAGTTTTGTATGAAAGAGCTTTAAAGGAAATGATAGATTTTATGGGCGACGCAAATATCTTGTTTGAAAAGACCGAAATGCCACTGCATCTGCTACTTTCGTTTTCGACGAATTGCCTGAAAACGAATCTGACAATCAAAACGAAAAGTAAAGACGAATTTGAATTTGTGTTGTTCATCAGAGAAATGGCGGAAAGGATTTCGTTTTGTGGAGGAAAGATGGGAGAGGTTTGGATTAATTCTTCGAAATTTCAATGGGTCGCCGCACGTTTTGCTTTGGCAAGAGAACTTTTTGTATTTTCAAAAGGAAGAACTGAATTGAATTGTTTGAAAACGCTGACCGAACAAACCGGGTTTTTATCATCAAGTTTCTATTGATTTCTTTTTAATATTTTTTAATATCTTTTTTATATCTTATTAATTAAATTAAAATTAGATGACACTTAGACTATATTAATTAATTACCATCTAATTACTAATAACAAATGATTTATTATAGTTAAATTTTACCATCTATTTATAGAATAGAGTACATGTTTTACTTAAGAAAAGACTTATGTGTCTATGGAAGACATAACAAGACTGGGAAAAGATGGATTAAAAAAGAATTAATTATCAAAGAGATCATTAGAATAATTGTCGATTGATATTCCATGAGGACAACCCATTCCTTTGAAGTCCCAGAACTTGAAGACACTCATCAGAGCAAAAGCGAAGTTCTGGCAATAACTTCTTTCAAGCTGCCCTTCCTTTTGTTTGTCAAGATACATTGCGACTTCTTTGATTTGAACCACAGGAGTACTTTTCAGAGGGAAGACGACGGGAGATACGCAGTCCAAGTAAATCATTTCGACCAAGAAGATAATAGCGGAGACTCGTGCTTCGAAGTCGATTGCTCTTAAATCGAGACGTGTGAATTTTTGTAAGAATGTAAGTACATTTTCGTTCTTGACGACCAACCCGATGATGAACTCTTGGAACAAATTTAAGAACATAGCAACTTTGATCCACAAAAAGATCTGAACTGGTCGAACAGCAACAACCGCCTTAGAAACTGCTCTGAAGAAATACAATAAAATCCAAAGAGCAATGAACATAATACACAATCCGTACAACCTGAATAACACTTTTGCGGCACCTTCTTCTAAATATCCAAATTGCACTAAAATGGTCTTAATGAGTGACAAAAAGGGTTTTTGAACGACAAATTGGTAGACCGCAATTTTGGTGACTAATAACAATTTCTTCATACCAGGGACGGGAACATCACAACAACACAACCGATTCACTCGCGGTATCAAATGCGCTACACATCGCGTCAAACACGGCGCTTCACCCGTCGATGACATCAACAACTTGTAAAACGTTAACACAACGTAGACTTCATATAAGTCGCGAATTAATTGAACAAAGACGACATTCTCATATAACATGAAGAGTTGACAATAAGAAACTACGGCGTTGATTGGTATCATAAACAGAATTCGCACGTAAAACTTTTGGACAAACTCTTGTTTGTAATTTAACAGATGTTGAAAGATGAGGAAGACTGATGGGCAAAAGTCCATTAAAAATATCGGCAAGAAGAAGAGTGGGACAAATATATTGATCACCCCTTTTTCGACACTCGTTGATGTCGAATTCAACTCCTCAAGCCACAAATTGGGAGAGTCCACCATATGTTACTCTTTTCAAGTTCTGCACAACAGAAAAGTTGGGTTGGATGGACTTTTTTAAAAATATCTTAGGCATTTTTCCCGTATTGGTAAGTCTCTTCTATTTAACATATTATTTTCCTTTTTGTACTTGGGGATTATCAGTAATAGTTCATTATTAATTTATTTACTAGAGAAGTTTCGTTCAAAAAATGTATGTTTTGTATCGTTTAATTTCTAAATAATAAATAAGTAATAAGTAATAAGAAAAGAATTATATACTGTTAATTAAAAAGAAAAAACTATAATAAATAAAAAAAGAACTAAAACACAAAATCACTCAACTTCCTTTTTGGTTTTTGCATCCTTTTCGTCTTTTTTTGCTCTCTTTCTCTCCTCTGGTGGGTTCTCAGCCATTTTGTTCTGAACAAGTTCGACGAGAAAATCAAAGGCCGTGTTCTGTTTGACACACTCACAGAGGTGCGACAAATTAATGGATTTTGATTGCTTCTCTTCGGCAATTGCGTTTGTCTTTTTGATCAAATCGATGAGAAAGAGTTCGGTGGCGCGAGCAATTACTAACGGGACATTCGACGCCATTTTTCCAACGTCTTCGTCCTCCTGCATGATCCGTTTGACACGAGCAGACGGCAGTAGTGTCATTGTATTTCGCTTCATTTCAGTCCGTTCGTTCCGCTTTCATTTCACTCACTTATATCTCTTTCTCTGTTCCAAAGAACCCTCATCACTTTTTATAATTTTATTATAAAATTACTATTAATTATTATATTTCATATGAACGACTATTTTGATTTTTTCTCAAAATGGTCGCTTAAATCTATATTTTATAATAAAACTATTCTCTGTTTTTGAGTTTGTTTAATAAATAGAATTGAGTTTTTCAAGTTCTACTGATTTATGATTTTAAGTTGTGTGGAATAAAAATGGTATTATGATGCAAAAAAAGATCTAAATTTTACTAATTATTATTAAATTAAAATGACAAACATTATAATAAATTGATACAATTCCCATATTTAGTTGATTGAAAGATCTTTTGTTAACATATAATTAAATAATAAAATAAAACCAAAATTTATCTAGAGTAAGTTGTAAAACGTTGTCCCAGTCGCCAACGTTGTCCCGCTTAGAATATTCTCTTTTGTGTGGAATCATTCTACGATATATTCAATAACCGTCATTGTAAAAACAACAAAAATGTTTTTAATTTTGTTTTTATTTTAAATTATTTTTTTTTCGAAACATTACAAAAACTTAGAAAATAATCATTAACTTATTTAGTTCTCTTTTCCTTCTTTTCAGAAGAGCAATCCAAAAACCCCTTTAAAATGACGCACATAAGAAATGGGTCAGTCAAGTGTGTGTAGTCACTTCAAACACTTTTAGTAGAATTAACATGCATGTCATAATAAGTTAGACGAACTGAATGTTAGTAAC